GGAGCTGACAACAGCCAATCGGCGCTGCGCCTGACGGCACCCGTGCGAGACCAAAACACGGAAGGGGCAGGAACAGACGCAGAACGTAAAAAGGTAACGCTGAACCGGGCGCGGGTCCGCCTGGAGCTGCGGAGGCGGGGCTTCCAAGGGCCCGGATTCCACTAAGTGCGCAGACTCCGTGCGCGGGACCCACGGACATGCGCAGTGCTCCTGCGAGGCTTCCTGCGCGTCCCCCTCCCCCCTCCCCCCGGTTCGGTGGCACCACGTGTTAATTAGCTGGCCCTGGCTGGCAGAGACGCTGGGGGCTTGCCGCTAAACGATGCCAGCCTGCTCGGCCCAAACCGGGGACCATATCGCTCTTCTTCACCGCGTTACTCTCCTTGCCTCTTAAATAGTGGTTTTCTGTGCAGTCGTCTGTGATCCCTGGACTCAGTGAACACCCTTGTCATCCACCCACTTGTTCATGAATCATGCTTGATTCCTCCCCTCACTTATTTATTTTATTTTTTAGGAACCACCCCCCGACCCCAGCGGAGCGCTGGGTCCCCCTCTTAACAATATGGAGTCTAACCCCCTAAACACGAGGGTCCTCAAACTCATCCATTCTTCCGTATCCCCGCGACCCGCACCCATCCTAGACCCTGCGGATTTTTAAGCTAGCTGATTGCTTCCTTCTAAGCCACGGGGCACTGAAATGATCGTTTCAAAATGCAAATCGTTTTCAGGTCACTGCTCAGCTTTATAAACAACTAGAGGGATTCTAATAATGCCTTAAAACCTTCCTGAGACTTTCAGTCGCTTAGCACCTGGGCCCTGTCTATTTCCCTAACCCACGTAGTACAGCTCACTTCCTGGGCTCCACCCCCACCCTCCCCCGGTTTCTTTTCATTTCACCTTCACACCAAAGCCTCTCATACCTTGTGCTTGGCTGGGGTAACCTGCCCGCTCTCTTACTTATTTTCCTGGCCAATTCCACTCACTCTTCTGAACTCGATGTAGATATCTTTTTTTCCCAAGGTTGTTTTTTTTTCTGTTTTGGTTTGGTTTTTTTGGACATCTTTTCCTTCTGTTTCATCCACTCGGGCTTTATCACAAGTGTTTGCTGCTTACTTGTCTGCTGTCTTCTCTAAACTATGTTCCTTGAGAGAGGGGAAGGGGTGTACTATTCTTCACTTTTATAGCCTATTGGTTGTAACTCAGCAAGGGTTCAAGACCTATCTGTTATATGAATGATATATCCTAGTAAAGTTCACTTGTAAGATTGATAATTAATGTATTCCCTTGCATCATCCTATCTGTTTCTTTGTTCCCCTCACGTTTTTTATTGTAGATTAGGTCATTCTGTGCTTTCTAACTTACTTAACCTTGTGTAATGAGAACACACATTGAATATTCCATAAAATAAGATTATTTAAGATACCTTTAAAAATAGTACAATCATGCAATCAGAAGCTTGTTCGTGAGTTTTGCTGAATTACAAGCTGTAACAAGGAGTCCTGGTGGCTAGTTGTTGTGCATTGGGCTGTGGTCCCCAAGCTCAGCAGTTCGAAGCCACCAGCGGCTTTGCAGGAGAAAGATGGGGGTTTCTATTCCCGCAGAGGGTTCCAGTCTCAGACACCCACAGGGACTCTTCTATCCTGTCCTACAGGGTCGCTATGAGTCGGCATCAACTCGATGGCAGTGAGTTTGGTTTGGGTTTATAAGCTACCCCTGAACTACAGCTTGTATTAAAAATAGGAGCTTTTAAATATAATTCAAAAGTAACATAAGATATGCTTTATCAATTTTATGCCTTCAAAGTGCATAGTTACGGTAGTACTTCACAAATAGGTTCACTATGTTGTCGTTGTTGTTAGGTGCCTTTAAGTTGGTTCCGACTCATCTGACCCTATGTGCAACTCTGTAAGCGGAATGAAACACAGCCTGGTTCTGCGCCATTCTCAAATTGTTGCTGTCTATTGTTAAGAATTATGATGAAACTGTGAGCCACCTCATGACACAGATGGATGTGGAGAACATCATGCTGAGTGAAGTTAGATAATCACAAAAGGACAAATAATATTTTTGTTAATTCAAGGAAGTTTTCGTACTGAAAGAAACAGACTTTGATGGTTACCAGGAGGGTAAGTGATACAGGCTAGAGGATAGCCAGCCATTAACGTGGGTGAAGGGGAAAATAATATCCTACAAGAGGGAGATGGGGAGACAATGGGTGGAGGGGACAGAGCACGTCATTGGGAGGTTTGGTAAGTTTTTCAGTTGTCGAAGGCAAAAATAATGATCTTGATTTGTGAACCCTCACCTGATTTACTATCTATTTAATTTGCCGCTGGAGGCAATTGTTGCATCCACTATGTCAGTCCATCTCATTGAAGTGTTTCCTCTTTTGTTGTTGTTGACTCTCTACCAAGCATGATTTCCTTTAGCAACTGAGCCTTTCTGGAAATATGTCCAAAGTACATGAGATGGAAGTCTCACCATCCTTGCTTCTGTCTATACTTCTTCCAAGACAGGTCTGTTTGTTCTTTTAGCTGTCCGTGTATATGAAGAAATTCAACACTGTATTTCAAGTGCATCACTTCTTTGTCTTCTTTATTTATCTTAACTCAGGTCTGTACCACAGAGGATGATGCTTCGTGCTGAGTTAGCAATTTCAGGGTGGGGGGAGTTCATTCACAGCTGTGCAGAATCAAAGACAGATTAGAGAGCAAAAATGCCAGGGTAGTTCTGGGATTCACGTTTCCACAATTTGAGCCAGTGCCGTGATGTTGTCTAGCATAGTTATTTCCATCTCAATCTGCTTCTCTTGAAAATAAGCCACAGTTTGGCTTGATAATTCATCTGTTCTTCAAAAACTTAAAGCAAAATTTATATTCATCAGAAGTGTAGATCTCTTCTAAAAGTGTGAAGTGGGCAGAGTTGATTAAACTGTATTTTGTGTTTCTTTTGGATTTCGCTTTTACATGCCTCGTTCAGAAATGTGACCAGTCTCTTCTTCACTATCAAAGATGTGCTTCCAAAGCGCTCTGGGAACTCAGCCTGGAAGCAGCACAGTTTCCAGTGACACTCGGTCCACAGGGCCAGTGGGAATCGGAATACCTGCCCTACCTTTAACGAGATAAAAATGAAATAGCCGTACTCCATGGCTCCTTCCCCAAAATTCCCACAAGCCTGGAAATGATAATGATTCTATCCGGGCCCCTGTGAAGTAGAATCATAGAAATGTCAGGGCTGCACATGACCTAGGCCGGCCTTCATTTTAGAGACGAGGAAGCTCAAGTCCAGAAAGAAGTGCTCTACCCAAGGTCACTCTGTAGGTTTGTGGCAGACTCAGGTCTCCGTTCTCCTGGTCCTGTGCTGTCCCTGATACCCTACAGCAGCTTAGAAGGTCCATGTCCTATGTAAGGGCCCAGAAAATAGGAACAAGGGACATAGGAAGGGGCTTCAAAAAGTGTGTGGCAAAGTGGAATTTAAAGATAGTGGAATTTTCTGGAGAACTTTTTGAAGTCCCCTTGTACTGTTGGCGAAGACTCCCATATATAGCTCCTTGCCACTTGCCCCCATTTATGAGTAAAAGAGGTTTATTTGTTTACTTGAAGTAGACATTTGTCATTTCTAAAGGTAAATGTTTACACTCATCATGCTGTTCAACCTTCGTCTTCATCTGCTCCTGAAGTTCTTATCACCCTTAACAGAAGCTCAGTGTCCCCTAAGCATTGTGGCTTCCATCCGCCCTCCCCCTCTGCTGCCCCTGGGGAAGCCCAACCCACTCGGATCTCTCTGTACCCTTGCCTATCCGATATTTCATATAAATGGTTTTGGTTTTGAACCTTTTTTGTGACTTAGGGGGGATCATCATTTTTGCATTCAACACCTGATTAAACGTCTAATGGCTTGCCCATCTCCCTTTTATAGGCTATTATCTTCTCCTTACAACAGAAGGACTGTGATGGTGACACACTTAGAAGACTTCCGCCTCCTAATCTGTCTCTTCTGGGGCAATAGCTAGCACTTGCCAAGGATTGAGTGTTTTCAGGCAGAGCTCTAAGAACGTCCTATTTCCTTCTCTCATGGTTGAATGAGGTAACCACTGTTACCATAGTCTTCATTTTACAGATGAGAAAACAGGTAATACTCAGATGTCACATAACCTGCCTAAGATCAGACAAAGGAACCCTGATGGCACAGTGGTTATGCATTGGGCTGCTAACCACCAGGTCAGCAGTTCAAAACCATCAGCCGCTCCTTGGAAGAAAGACCAGGGTTTCTATTCCCATCAAGAGTTAGTCTTGGAAACCCACAGGGGCAGTTCTACCCTATCCTACTGTGAGTCGGCATCCACTCGATGGCAGTGAGTTTTTATTTGCGGTGCTGAATCCTTACCTAGGAAGTCTAGCTCCACTCTAGGCTCTGGACTCTTATGATTACGTCCTCCTGGGAGAAACAGCCTATTTCAGCAAGGACCGTAGCGATCCTGGATGAGCCAACTGACTCTGTTTTTACATTTTATTTTCCTGGTTGGCTTTTTGACTACAAGTTCATCCTTCAGAGACTCTTGTTCCACTTATCCTAGTCTATATGCTCCATCTTCCCAACAGGAACTCCTTAACCAATGTATTACGTGCCATCTACCTCCCCTCGATCTCTGGGCCCCTGTCGCCCATACCACCCCCCTCGCTGCCTACTCCTCTTTCAATAAATGAATAGATAGGTAAAAATATAAATAAACAAACAAACAAATAAATAGATAGGTAATAATAACCAGTTATCCTGTAGATAAACTCCGATTTGACTTTTATTTAATAAATTAAACTCCACGCCATCACACCGCAATGGAATTCCTCCTCTCCCACATACAGCGTGCAGCCTTGCGCCTGCTCCATCCACACAGTCTTGCAGTAAAGCCCCTTTGGTCGTTGCTCTGGGGAGGCCTTCTACCAGGCCCGTGGCTCGCTCCCTCCACGGAGCCCACGCTCACGGGAAGGCATCAAGTACAAAAACAGTAATAAAGGGCAAAGGGGAGATGAGGAGCAGGAGGGGAGGTGGGGAGTACCTGCCCCCCTGGCCCGGCGCCTGCCCAGCTTTGCAGGAGCTGCCAGTGTGCTCCGGGGCCCACCTGGTGCTGGTCGGAGTGGGGACTTGAGGGAGGGATGGGCACTCCATCCCAAAGGGAGCTGTGTCCCCTGCTGGGACAGAGGTGAAGGTCACCGGGGAGAGATGCCCTCTCCTGTCTAGTCACTGAAGGTCCCGGAGCACACATATAAATAGAAAAGGGAATAAATAAGGGCGGAAGATCAGCTGAGGTGCTGAGTACCCGGGGACTCCTCGGAGGGTCCAGTGTCAAAGGTTTCTGCAGAAGCTCCTCATGTGCCCACACAGAGCTCCTCACTCCGACCACCCACTGCCTCGCCTCTGGGCCTCTGCTCACGCCATGCCCTTTGTGAGCACCCTTCTAGCTGGCCCTCCAGTCCAGGGTGGACAAGGCTTCCTGGAGCCCACAGGGCTTCCTGGCCTAGAAATCCAGGGAGGGGTTGGAAGAAGGTGTGGGGAATGGGTAGGCAGGCAAAACTCCCGCACTCAGGAGGTCTAGTGCAGGAGGGCCCTCAGAGCTGGGGGCTGGGGTTGCCATTAGCCTTGGGTTTGGATTTGAAGGAAAAGCGCTTGATGAGGCGGCGGGAAAAGCTGCCGGCCTTCTTCCGGACGCTGGGCGCAGCCGTGGTGTTGGAGAGGTCATCATGCGATTGGCTCAGACCCGCTTCCTTCTGTCGGGGCCTCCGGCGGAAGATGAGCTTGGTGCCACTGCGCAGGAAACTCACTGTGGGGAGAAGGGGGCAAGCAGCCAGGAGAACGCGTCCTGGGTGCAGTGGGGTGGGGAGCCGAGAACTAACAGGGGATGGAGGGATAGGAGATGCAGAACAAATCCAGTCTCTGGCTCTAGAAGCCAGACTTGCTTCAGATAAGAAGGGGACAAGGAGCCTTGGTCACTGCGGGACCCACTGGGCTACTACCCACTGGGCTACTGCCCACAAGGTTAGCAGTTCAAATCCACTCTGAGGGAGAAAGATGAGCATGCTTTCTGCTGCCCTGGAGATGGACCGTCTCGGAAACCCACAGTTGCCCTCTGTCCTCTAAGGTCCCTGTGCACCTCCAGGGCCACTGGGGGTGGGAGCTGGCTGGATGGCAGTGAGTTTCAAGTTGTCCTCTCTCCTTCAGGACAGAATGAGAGGTCCTGCGCTTGGGAATGGAGCCCCTGTGACTCCTGCCCTAACAGACTGGGAGGAGTGTGCCTTTGTAGTATGGATGACAAAGGCTGAGCTGGGGGATCCCTAAAGCCTATAAAACCACTGTGAAGAGAACAGGCGGATCCACATGGAATGTTTACCACAGGCCAGCACATGAGCCATACTGTGGGAACTTCAAAGATACATTCCAGCCCAGCCCAAAGAGGAAGGCTGACACAGAGGCTGCACTTAAGGACTCTCATTATCCCCCACTCAATAGATGTGTGGTTGAAAGACTCAGTGACAGAGGATGGCGATGTCTTGGGGCAAGCAAGTTTCAAAGAAGTACTACATCTGTCCCCAGCTGCCACTGTCAGAGGGGAAATCAATCCTACAAAGCCGAGTTCGAGTCAGATTGTTTATGCTCATGGGGGAGAGGGTGCAGAATGAGAAAATTTCAAAAAGATAAAAACCAGAAGGCAAAGGAAGACAGGGAGCTAGAGTCACACAAAAAAAAAGAAAGAAAGAAAGAAACTCAGGCCAAGGGCCATGATTTGGCCTCTCCACCCTATTACCTAAGTCGGTCAGATCCAGGCCAGGAACGAAGGCGTCGAATCGCCCTTCCTGCTCTGGCTTCGGAGTCCTCGTGACACCGTGGTTAAAGCAAGCAGCTTCTAACCTAAAGGCCTGTGGTTCGAAACCCACCAGCCGCCTGTGAGGGAAAGATGTGTCTCTCTGCTTCTGAGAGGTTTATGTCCTTGGGAGCCGGTGAGGAGGGAGTTCTCCCCGGTCCTAAAGAGCCCTTATGAGGCAGAAGTGGTTTGCGGGTTTGGCTTCTAGGCTGGCTGAGATTAGCTAAGAGCTCTGGTGACACCTAAGGGGGGAAGGAGAAGCAAGCTGGCTTGTAGCACTCACACCCCTCGGTGTCCACGGGCTCTAGGTCATAAAACAAACAAAACCAGCGGCCCTCGGGAGATCCCAATTCAAGGTGACCCAATGTACCGAGGGGCTTCAAACAGTCCACAGAAGAATGCCATTATCTCTCCATGCTACGTCCCCGTGAGCGTGTGAAAGGAAGCCCCTTCCTCCGTCAGAGTGGAATTGCGTTCCACAGCACAACTGCAAGTTTTCAAGGAGACTGGGACTACCTTGAAGTAGATCACCAAGCCTTCCTTCCAAGGCACCTTCAGGTGGATTTGAACCAGCAATGTTTTGGTTCCTAGTTGAGTTCTCAACCACCTTGTGCCACCCAGGGAGTCTCAGAGATCACGAAACCAAACCCACTGCCATCGAGTTGACGCCAACTCACAGCGACCCTACAGGGGAGTAGAATTACTCCAGAGGGTTTCTCAGACTGGCAGCCCTCGTGGGGACAGACAGCCTCATCTTCCTCCCATGGGATGGCTGGTGGACTCAAATCACTGACCTTGGGGTTCGCAGCCCAATACTTAACCTACGGGACCCACCTGGTCACGAGACTGGACATAAAAAAGAGACAAGTGGAGGGAGGCGTCCTGCCAATATTTGCCCACCTTTGTGGTCCTTGAGGCTGCGGGTCTCCAGGGCACCTGTAGACCCTGTTTCGGACTCCACATCATCCACGGACGGCCTCTCAGAAATGTCTGACCGCGTGGTTTCATCTGCTTCCTGGACACTTGTAGGGCTGGAGAGGGCATCCAGGGGTCCTGGGGACATGGCTGGTGGGTCTGAGGGAGATGACGAGGGACCTCCACTGCTCCCTGCCTCATCCTGCAGGGAGGCTTCCAAGGATGCCGCATAGCCCAGGGACAGTGCCAGTTCGTCCTGCGCGATGGGCACCTGGCACGAGCGACAAGTTTTCAGTGAGTGCCCGCCAAGTTAGGGCCCTCTCCCCGCTCCACCTTCTCTCTCCAGGGCCCATTACCTTGGAAACACCCGAGATGATCAGAGTGCTACGCTTGGTGGGTGTCTTCTTGGCAGCCCGCCCACCGGGCTCAGTCAGCTGGCGAATTGCTGTCTCGGCTACAGGGTCCAAACCATTGGAAAGGTGGCTCTCCCCTGCTGGGGACACACAGTAGGATGGACACCCTGACTTCTAGGCCCTGTTCCCTCTTCTTGGACTTGAACTCTTCCTACCTGACCCAGAGTTGTTTTGACTCCGGGGGGCGGTCCCAGTCCCCCCCCAACTCTCACCCACCCCGTGGCCCACTCACGGCTGCTGTGGGAGGTGCTGCTGAGGCCGCTGTTCTCACTCAGCACAGTTGTCGTCTTCTCGGTCACCTCCACCTTGGACGGGGAGCGGGAGGGGGAGTCTGGTGGGTGGGGGAGGGTCAGTGAGCTGCCGGAAGGGGCTTTAGAGTGGCCCCTACCCCGTAGTATTGTCTTTGTTGAGCCCGAGACTTGGGCTGGCTCGAGGTGACTAAGAAGATGGCATGGAGTCACTTGGAGGGGAGGAAAGGTCACAGGGGGCACGGGAGTGTGGGGAAGTGCCATGGGGCGCACTGAGGATGTGAGGGGGTGCTAAAAGTGTGTGGGGTGTCAATGGAACAGGGGTACACTGGATGTAGAAGACATTCCCTGGAGCCCCGAGAGGTGAGAGGGTCCCAGGGGTGAGAGAAATACAGGGTGTTGAGGGTCGACAGTAGAGCCAGCTGGACTGGGGGAAGGGAGAGACATGACCTGACAGAAGGGAATTGAGGATCTGGGAGCTGGGGATGGGGGGGCTGCCTGTATGAGGTGCTGGTAGAGTCAGAAGGGCAAGGGGAAGGGTTGAGGAGGAAAAGGCTGTAAGGGGGAGTCTGGGGAAGACCAAGACAAGGAACAGATGTGGTAAGAGCTGAACGACATGAAGGAAAACAGGGTGGGTGCAGACACATTATGCCTTCCCTTCCCTGTCCCTGTCCCTGTCCCTGCCCCTGCCCCAGGCCGGCAGCCCAGGGCCCTTTGCAAGAGCTGGGCTCCCAGGAGCCTCCTCTTTACCTAATTTGCCATCCACACGGGGCCGGGACTGGACAGTGGTGACCGTTGTGACAATGGTGCCATCGGGCATGATAGTCCGATCCAGCTCAATCTTCTTGGTAGGTGTGATGCTAGGGCGAGGTGTAGAAGGGGTCGGGGTGCCCAGGTTCCGGGGGGAGCCCTCCTCATACTGAAGCTGCCAAGGGAGAGAGGGCAATGGGGCAGGTCCTCAGAGACGGCCCTTCTCCTGTGTCCTCCACGTCCCCTGGGGCTCAGTCGCTCACCTCTGCTGCCATGGTAGCTGCGGGTCCCAGGACCTTCCCTGGCCCTGGGGTGAGTGGACACACCTGTCTTCGAGACAGTGGTCTGGAGGGTGAGCCCACAGGCAGGGTGGCCTGGCCCAGGAGTTCGCCTGGGGGAAGGGGTGGCACTGTGAGCTGGGCTCTGGCTGGGCCCCACTGGGCATCCACCCAGAAGCGCTCCCTCCTGCACTGTCCCCATACTCACTGTCCCCACAGCTGCTGCTCCTTAGCACTTTCAGGGTCAGCTCCCGGCTCTGGGGGCCCAGATCCCTGGGGACCGAGAGGAGAGGAAACATCAGCAAGGTAAACTCACCCTTGAGCTGAGGCAAGAGGCAGAGACAGATGGCAAGGATGCCCTCTGATGGGCAAGGATGGGCAGAGACAGATGGGCAAGGATGCCCTCTGATGACTTCCTGCCTTTCGGACAGTCTCACTGTCCAAGACCATGGGATCCTGCCCCTCACTGAAATCTTCCCTGCCTCCCTAGTTGCTCCCCTACCCTCAACTCACCCACTTTGCTCAAGTTGTCCCTTCAGCCCTCCATTTTTTCTCTGTTGAAATCTTACACTTGCTCTAGGGTATGACTTAAATACCACCTCTTCCAGGAAGCCCACTCTGATTTTCCATTCCCTTGTACCAAAGAACCTCTCCCATCAAATTGCTCCCCACCACCCTGATTGGAGGGCTTATGCCCTCTCAGTTATGTGCGTGTGGCATAGCCCCTAGCCTGCGGTCAACCAAAGAGTGGGGACTGTAGCTTCGTCTACATCCGTGGAAGCCAGCTTGGGGTTTGATGGATGCTGGGGACAGAGACCACTCCTTACAGTGACAGGTCCTCTGTCCACTCCACCTCAGGAGCAGCCCTCACGGGCTTGGTCCACTTCTGTTGCAAGGGGTTGTCCAGCTCAGCGACGCAGCAGAGCCCCGCAGTGCCTGCGGGGAATGAGCAATTGGAAGATGCCAGATGACGGTGGGGAGTGAGGCGGAATAGGGAGGACGTCCCTTGGTGGAGGGGCAGGGCCACCTGCCACCATGCCCTTGTGAGGCCCTGCCCCTCAAACTCTCACCTCCCAGCTCACTTCCCAAGTGAGATGCTCGAAGCTGCCGGAGGAATAACCGCGTGGGTCTGGGGATAGCTGGCTGGGCCTGGGGCACCGGGGGTGGCTTCTCACTGGGTGTCTAGGAGCAGAGAAGGAGGTAAGAAGAGGAAGAGGCTGGAGGGAGCAGCCTGGGAACAGGAGCAGAACCATGGGCTGGGGCGGCCCGCTCACCAGGCCTCCAGGGGCCGAGCAGGCCCGGAGGTTGACCATCATGGCTGGCTGAGTGCTGACGATGGCATCCTCGACCAGTTCCTGGATAGTGGAGAGCTCCACTTGCTCCTCGCCTCTCTACAGGGACAAGAAGAAGGAGAGGTGTCGCCTCTAGACGGCCTCGCCCTCCCTGTCTGCTCTGGCCTGCCCACCCTGGCCCTTACCTCCCTGGCCTGCAGCTTGGGCAGCACCACCAGGTGGAGATCAGGGCGATCAGGGAAGGCCCAGGACACCAGCAGCCCCTCTCCGGGGATTTCCTCCAGGTTGACTTCCAACTGCACACAAACGGACAAGGTGCTGGTTTGCTTGCTCCAGCCACCCCCGACTCCCAGGACCCGCCCTCCCCAGATCCAGCCCCCAGAGGAACCACTCTGCCACAGCTGACACAATGGATCCCCCACCCACACCCAACTCTGTTCCCACATCCCCCTCCACCTGTGTTGGTGGCAGTGTCAGGGTGACGTGGTAGGTCTCCATGGAGACGGCAGCAGGGGACTGCTGGGTCACGGAGACTGGGAAGCGCACCTCCTCAGCGATGAGCTGGCAGTGCAGCACCTGACACAAGCAAGGCAGGGTCGGCAAGGCGGAAGTGGCCAGGTCTGCTCCGCCCCGCCCTGTGGTGGTTCAGCAGACCCTTCCCCACTAGTTTTTCTTGGAATTTTCCCTCTTTGAGGTCACACCCCTCTAAAAGAATCAAGGAAAAGCCAAAGACATCTCATCCCAGAGAACTGCAGAGATGTGCATAAGACGTGTCATATTTTGCACCCAACTTCAGGGGCACAAGGGGCACTCCCAGACTTCCTGAAGTCAACTAATCTTGCGTCCCCAAGGCATTCATTCAGCTCAGGGTAAGAACCCCAAGGCTAGAGGACACCTTTGGGCTCAGCCGCTCTTGAGGGGAAAGGAAGGGGGAAAAGAAGACAGTACCTGGCCGACCCTTACCATGGTGTGCTCTGATTGGTCTATGCAGGTCACATGACCGATGCTGGCTCTGGGTGGGAGTTGGGGCACTTCCTCAAAGGTGATTTGGATGGAGCTCTGTGGGAGTAATAGGGCATGTGTTCAGTTCTCTGGAAACCGCCCTGCTCCCCACCAGGGCTGTCCTGTCCAGAAGCTGGCTGGGTCTTGACACTGCAAAGGCCTGAGCTGCCGGCTGGCGTCTGGCCACTCCTTGGCTGGGGCCTTTGGGGCAGGAAGTACCTTCTCTCAAACTCTGCTTCCCCAGAGATCACAGCTGCTAGGACCACTGACAAGTAGGAAGCTAGACCACCTCAGGGATGGGGTCCCCTGGAGCAGCAACCCTGGGTTCCTCCTAGAATTCCAAGAGTCTCCCTCCTCTTCTCTCTCCACCCTCCCACTCCACCCCACCCCCACCACCGAAGGAAGTTGTAAGCAAGAGAAAAACAAAAGATGTTAGTTGCTGCCGAGATACAGAGGGAGCCTCAAACACTTTGTGGAAACGTCCCATTATCTTTTTTCTTTTCTTGGACAGATCCTCTTTTCCATTGTCCTTTCATTCCACTTGCCCATTAACTTCGTGAAGGCCCTTCATGGAACAGCTGGGGAGAGGAGCCAGAGAGTCAAGTGCAGGATGGAAGCAGGAAGGTCGGTTCTTGTCGGACAATTGCTAAAGAAACGCTTCTCCAGATAATTGGGAGGGAGGGCACTGAGGACCTGGAGGCTCAGGAGGGTGACCTACCATGGTTTGGGGTCTTCAAGACTAATTCAGCACAACCTTGGGGAATGTGACCAGAGGAGTAAGGAAGAAAAGCCAAGTCAGAGGGCTCAAGGGCCCAGGGGCCTGGTTAATTCCTCAGAGTTGACAGCAGGGTGGCATTAGGGAGCAGAAAGCCGATTATTAGCTCAGGCCTTGAAAGAACTGCTTCCGAACTCTTCCACAGCAGAATGCTCTAGCCAGGAGAACGGAGATTGAGGAGGGCCCAGAATGAGCTGACAGCTCGTCTCTGGATCCTGGGAGGGCAGGCAGCAGAGCCCATTTGGCTAGCAAAATAGGCACAGCTTCTGTAGCTATCTTGTTCTATGGCCAGGTCCAGGGAGAGGGCTGCTTGGGACGCCAGGCTCTCCACTTCCTATAGAGAAGGCCAATGTCCAGCTGAGTCAGCTGTCCTGGGAAGTTGCTCCTGACCCAGGGACAAGGTACAGGCAGAGCTGAGTGGAGGAATGGGTTCAAGGTGTAGGCTGCCGTCTGCCAACAGATCCTTTTGCTGACCAGAGGAGACAACGAGATTGCATGTGTGTCCAGGCATCAGGGGAGCTAGTAGAGCATGAAGCCCCAGACTGTGGGGGTGGGGTGGGAGGCTGGAAACAACGCTCTGAGCCTGGGACTGGTGGGTGGTGCTGGCAATGAGAAATTGCTGGGCCAGGATGGGAGGCCTCTACTTGCCACCCCACCTCGGTCTCATGACTACTACCATGCTTCCTGCCCCACTTCCTGGGAGGCCAGATGCCCTGGTGCAGTGGGAGGAAGTAGGTTGGGCTGATTTGTAACTGACCATCAGGGATCAGCTCCAGGCTCACTCATCTACTGGGAGGCACATGGGCTGTCAATCTGGTCTCCACCTGACACCTTGCCTCCCTTCCCCCAAACAAACACACCCCTGGCCAGCCAGGTAGCTGGGTGTGTTTGACAGTAGCAGCGAAATCAGTAAAGGGTTGAGGGGGTCATTCAGGCTCTCTGGGGATCTGCCTGACCACAGCAGGAATTTCGGGGCATGAACTGTTAACCTGGAGTAGTAGCTTGAGGACCAAATTCCGTCTGCAGGTGCACCTGCCCCCACCCCCAACCCAACCCAGGCCAGGCTGAAGCGCCATCAGGCAGAGGGATTAGCGTTGCTATGAGAACAACAATTCGTGAACAGGTTTGGAGCCCAGAGAGTACCTTGCCCACAGGAATAGACGCTCTGGAACACAGCCGGATTTGTGCAAACCGCCCCCCACCCCTACCCCCAATCTCCCGGCCGCTGGCGGAGAGGAGAGGGGGCCAGAGGGTTCCCCAATCTCTTTGGCTCTTCTAAGCCCCCACAGACCCTCGCCGGAAAGGAAGGGCTAAAGGGCTACCCCTTTCCCAACTCACCCCATCCTTGCAGGCCTGCTCGTTCAGTGCTCGCACCCAAGCTCGCTGCCAGTTCTCCCGGAAAGACTTGAAGGCGAAGAGCGACGCTAGGAGGCCCCGGACGCCTGGCTCCTCGGGGACGCCAGCCCGAGCCGCCCGCAGCCTCAGCAGCGAGCGCCACACGCCCAGCTCCCGCA